TCTATCGAAACTGCCGATAGACATTTAAAAAAAAGTCGTGGGCAATTTCAAAATGCTCTACTATAGTAACCATGCAGATAAAGATCACTCCATATCGCTGTAACTATCGGTCCAAAATAATATATTCCTGATTTCACGAGGGATCTCAATATATTTTCCAATCTGCAGGAAGGTAATTGTTTCATAAAAGGTATCTCCGGTTTATATTCCCCCATTCTGCATCAATAACAACTCCTTCAAGCTTGTTATACACCCTATCGCAATTCAATAATCCAAAATTTTTGGTCTTAAATTATTTATGACTATTTCTTATTCATGATGAATAACATTTTCGTGCTCATCGAAAATTAACAATTCAATGATATCATGTCTGAAATCTAAAATAATTGATTTTTGTTGGAAATTCATCCAGTAGTAAAGGATTTTTCAATCTTACTCCTAATCGAATGATATTTTCGTCAAGAATGCATAGACATTCATGCAACCTACTCGATTTCCATATTTTTCCTTTCTGGAGTAAAGATAAGTCTTTATTGAAATTTTTCTGTAGAACTCGCGTGTATGATTATGAACTTGCTTCATCAATTTTTTCTGATAGAACTTCAGTTTTTGACCTAAAATCTCGCAGGAGTCTCAAAATTGAAGTTATACATCTGAGTCACTTATTTCGTTTAAAGAAACAGGCAGTTCTGGAAGAATGTTTCCATCATTTCTCGAAATCACAACAAATCAATTTATAATTTCGCAGTCGTTAGGATTCCCTTCAAGATCTTGATTTATGTGACTCCTACAGGTCCAAGAGGATTCTTGAAGTAACGACAAGATTCTGAAACTATCCAATTCAAAACTGCCTTAGAATCACGCCAATAAAACTTCTTCTGTATTGATTTCCTATTCAGAATTTTTTGCACCAATTATTGCTGTTTGAGGTTGCAATCTTGAAAACTATGAGTACCAAAAAAAACTACATTCTCTTAATCGAATGGAGAAAAATATGCCACAGCAACATAATCATTTCATGAAGAGTCACACAAAATGTGGATCTCTTTGAGATACTACCTTGGAAGACTGAAATTTTATATTTTCTTGAGATGTCTCACCCACATCTCTCATTTAATATTTGAAGAGTCCGGAATTTTATCACCCCATCCAACATTCATTCTAAAAATATCTTGAAGCAAGATTTTACAACGAACTGTAAAGTTAGAAATTACACCCGAAGGATCAAAAAGGAGCATTACTTTTTTAGGAACTCGTTTTTCGTAGAGCGTCGTCTCTACTAGGAATTATCAGGGCAAATATAAGAAATTTGGTTCAAAAAGTAAATACATCATCTTTGGGGCTCCACCAAAGGCCTGAAAGCCTCTCTAAATCAGAAGAAGTATCTAATTTCAGATTATTAAATAGTTCAGAAATCAATTCTGAACTGGTATTTTCTAAGACTGTTTGATTATTATAAATATACCATGAATTTTGATTGCCTCATTCACCAACTTTATAGTTTTTTTTTTCATGATAGGTGCCCTCTAGATACTCGTTCTTATAATTTCATTAGCTGCTCTGGGGTATTTTCTACATGGTCCAGAGCATTTCTATTCTTCACTTCCAGCGGATCTCCAAATCGATACATCCCAAAAAATCGTTAAGCAGTTCCATCTTCCTCGCCTACTGTGACCTATAAAACATTTATTTTATATCTGCCACGAAAACAGTTTTTTTACTACCAATATGCCGCAAATAAAAAGTTGTACATTTATTTATACCCCGTATATTGAGTGTGATAATTTTTCAATCATCTTATATATCTACGTCACTGTTTATCCACGATATACAAAGTGTATTTGAAGACCCATTCAAATATAACCGTTTTAATATTTTATCGTGCAATATAGTCACCGTAGATGCATCGTTGAATAAAGCATTTGTATTCATTACTTTGTTACTCAACTGAACAGGAACAATTTTGACAATTACTCCATTTTTCTTTTGAAATATATGTATATGATGATTTCATTGATGTACTTTTGTGGAACAAATTGGCTGTCATTTTATGATATATCATTATTTTAAATAATTTTATTACTTTCGAATATCACCCTGTGTAATGAAAGATTGTGAACTTTTTGATAACTGTTGATCTGACACGATTTTTTCTGATAAATTTTTTTCCGTGCATTGAATCCAAGTAGGAAAAACATAAAAACTTCTTATAAATAAAACCGCATCATTTGTGAACGTCAATATTTGAGAACGAACTACCAAAAATTGTGAAAGTATCAGGCAATTCAACTATTGAACTGTATTTTTTCGTGAAATTAATTTTTCACAACCTTCTAACAATAACAAAGTTTGTTTTACTCCCTCCATTTTGACGTTCGACATTTTGGCGTTCAATAGCAGGTAGGTAATGGCTCATTTAGAATGAACGTGTATTTAGAATACGCGTGTATTCTAAATTAATAACGGCGAATTCCGTAAGAAATTTAAAAAAATTATGAGATATGTAACATTTACTCTGATAAATATGATCTCATGAATACACTCAATTGTCCAAAAGCCAGAATCAGTGAATTTTCTCCCCAAATTCTCTGTAAAATCGAAATAAATATCATATTTTCAGTAAATTTATTGGTTAACAGGTTATGGGTTGGTAATGAATCTAGTTATATCCGTGTATCAACAACCATTTGTTTTAATTATGAGCTTTCATTCAGTATCTCGAAAAATTCAAAATGAGTAATAACGATGAAGAAATTTGGCTACCCCACCAGATAGTACCGAGCAAGCAAACATCGCCATGAACAGTTTGCTTCATTTTAGGAAAACGTCGTTTATTTCGAAGATCTAGCAAAAACTTTGAAACCATCGTCATGTGTACATCAGCAAAAATTCCAAATTATGTGCCTCTGTAAAATGAAATCGTCAACGCTCACCGGTGAACAGATAAATCAATTTATTACGAAAGCCTCAGATGGCAAATATTTGTTTTTGAAGGTAACGCAACTCCGATTATTTTTTCTATTAATTGTTTATGAAATTTTGGCAACAATTTTTGAAAGACACATCGTAAAGGTTAAAACTGAATTATCAACCTCACCAGCCAACAGCTAATCATATTTCATTTGCCAGACCTAAAGCAAAGCCTACGTCCGTTAATTCTATGAACTAAAACAGCCAAAAGGATTTGAGAATATTTTACAGACCAAAAACTACCTGTTCGCATTTGTATTTGACATTATTATATTATTCAGAACTCTTCAAATTCATGTATTAACTCACAAAGTGAATATCAGTTATGTTCAGTACTCATATCACTATCAGACAATACATCGATAATCGCCAAAGTAGCTCAGCGGTAACGCGTGTAGGTATATAATGTTTTTATTTTTCCTGTAACCCGAGGTCAAATCACACTGCTGAAAGTTTTTTTTTACGTGAAGGATATAATTATATATTAGTAATATTTATCGGAGGGTAGTGGTAAAATGAAATGACAAAATAATTCTAATTTATTTCTAGGTTGCAATGAATAATATTATTGTTGGAGTATGCCGAAAAAAGAACGAAAGATATGCAAATAGATCATATTAAAGATATGGGCCAAGAACTATACATTGGCCAGACACAATTCCTGTAATATTTGTAGAAAGTACATGAACCTGATACCAAAAAATGTTGACAACTACCAATTTTTTTTAAATTGTCAAAATGGGATATGTACTCATCAGGTTGTTGGATTTGATAAGTTGGGTGACCAACCAAAAACTATTTCCAAGTTTTTACATTTGGAAAATCCAGAAACATATACTGGACACTGCTTCAGAAGGTCATCTGCAACCATCCTAGTTGATGGAGGGGGTGACCTAATGGCATTAAAACACTATGGTGGCTGGAAAAGTTAGACCGTGGCCGAAAATTATGTAGATAATTCTATGGCATCCATGAGAAATACATCAAATGTACTCATAAATAGTATTGAAAACATTTGTATTCCCACTGTTTCAAATTCTCAACAAAATGGAATAAGACCGTCTTCTTCCTACATCGACGCGACAGCGGAATATCATTAAATAATTGTAATAATGAAACAAATGCACATAATTATAACAAACCCCAAAAAAGTAATTTGTACGCACCTCGAGGATAAGGCCGATTACGTCCACTCGCGAATTATCGCACTCGGATAACGTCTCGTGTTTATAATTTTTCGCTCGTGGGTAATAGGCTTCTTATCCTACTTGATACGTAATATACTATCAACCAACTATCACTATGACACAAAATGAGTATGCAATGTCAACAATATCATAAACATATAAATATGTTTCTGACAACCGTCGAGAATCGTGTTTTGTGCTACTCATAAACTCGTCCTTCATTACAAGACATTAATTAGTATGTTAAATTCAGTTAGTTCACCATTTCTTGGGAGTATTGCACATGTTGATTGTTGTGTATGAAATCCAAAAAGTCATGGTTCTTTTCCTACAGCCAGTACTGTGTCTTGAAGGCATCACCTGAAATTGTGTCAAGTGCACCTGATTATTTGGAGCGTTTTTTCCATACTTTTTCTTGAGAAAACTGATTTGTACTAGAGGCAGTTCACAATGAAGTATTCATTCAGCTAATGAATTAAAAACGAAAGCGAAAGTTTTTAGATTATTCCTCACTACCACCCATTTTGTGCTGAACGTAACTCTAAAGAACACTGCTTCATCCCAACCAAATCGACCCCAATTCGGCGGTTCTATTCCAAACTCACACAGAAACACACTTTTCATCCGGTGAGAGTGAGCAAGGAAGAAAAAAACGGCCCGACATAACCTCATCAGAAGTGAATGGGCCTTATTACGACAGATGCAGCACCAGAGAGGTCTGGCTGGTGTAAACGTCGCCAAGCAACGGACGCGTCGCCGCGTGGCGTCACTCTCATCTCCCTCATAGTCGTGCAGAATCAGTGTGGTATAGAACTTTCAGTCAGGTGGTTGGTGCCCTTCTAGGGCATTCGGAAGCGAGACGTATCTTCGTCTGGTCTCGTTTCTATTGACCAAACAATTTCCGTGTGTCGAGTGTGCTGTGTGACTGGAGTTCAAGGTGCGTGCGTCCTGGATCCTTACGGGGCCGGCGGATGGGCCCCTCAACCGCATTCGCTCCACGGAGCGGCGGGGGGGCCTCCGCACTGGTGCGATAGGCCTGGGAGGTCTTCAGATCCCGTCACTCCTGTAGGTGGTCCTCTTCGACAGGCCGACAGCCCATTTCATGCCAGTTGTCCTGTACATAGTCCATTCAGGTTTCGTTTCGTTAACGGCGGGCCGGATTATCATCATCTGCACCATCCACATCAGGTGATTCAACACTTTTTCATATATGAGAGTACTGAGTCAAGGTCGTTAATTATTTGGCGACACAATTCATCACAAACAATACTAAATGTGGAATGTATATTACTTTGTAATCTTTGTGCGGTGCATCAACATATTTTTGCCAAAAAAACGATGAAGATCCATTTGATTCATGTAGTTTACATGGCCTCCTCTTTCGTAGAAATGGGTCAAGGTTAAATTTTGATACGGTCATAGAATATAATGGAAGTAAAATCAATGTAACCTAGTTTGTATATTCTTTCAACGGTATTGAATGCGAAATCCAGTTTGGAGATGATATTGGTCACTTTCATTCGTTTGTAAATATAGGGCTCACATTTTGAGATGCATGATGTCAATTTGAAAACTTTCCACTCTTAATATTTCTCTTTCAGCAAAAAAATATGAAAAATCGAGAAGACACGTCGAAGGAAACAGTTTCAAAGAATCATCAACTAACGATGCTCTAAAAAGAAGTGATTAGAATTTGACTGCACTCTGAGTGTAATTGTTGAAAGGTTATTATTTAAATAAAAAATACTGTTTTGTGTCTCCTCCACTTGAATCAGTGCACTTTTGCCAACGTGACACAAGTCGAATAATCCCGTCAGCATAAAAATTGTGTGCTCGGTATTCGATAAAGTCGACGAAGGCCCTTTTTTGCCTGGTCCTGATGGTAACTTGTGAAAGGTGTTGTGAGCAGGATCGGACCTATTCTGTCGGTCAGTACCAACTGCTGATGACACAGTTTTCGGTATATTTCATCGATTGCCTCACAGCAGGACTTTGCCCTTATGGACTTTTTCATGTTATGACGCTGTTCAAAATTTCAATCATGTCTTGTATGTACTTTGCAAAACGTTAATAAGATTCTGGTTATTTTTTCGTTTCTAGAAAGTTAAAAATTGAAATTTATCGCTATAAACTAAGCACGAAAATATTGTCATACTATCCATCTTTTCCGAAACGAAAACCAAATATTTATTTGAGGTAATTAAAAAAATCTGTTTAAAATCTGTTTTTCCGTTAACCAGCTAAATCGATAATCAACTTTTCCTGAATGACATTTTTTTTAATCCATCCAAATTTTTTTATATCAATGCTGGCATGCCCTCAACTTTTTGACAAAGTTTTCGGAACGGTAACAAAAAATAATAATACGAAAAGTTTAAGAAATGTTTGACTCCTTGCGAATAATAGTAGAACAAGCGGAAACTGTAAAAAAAAGTCCTGAAAATTCATATACAGTGGAATTCATATATAACGACTCCGCTTATAACGACTATCCGTTTACAGCGACGATAATGTTTACTCAAGTTTAGTTTCATATTTAGTTATTGAGAAAATATACCGTTTAGTGCGACTCCGGTTTAAGCGACCAACCGCTTAAAGCGTCCGTTTTTCATGATAATACATCCGGTTAAAATGTCGCGCAATGTTTTGTTTACACAATCTGCACACCAATACCTCGGCGCACTCTCCCTTCTTAGGTACCTCTATTGATAGGTACTACTAACAGATATTATTAGATTGATTTTACGCCAGAGGTTCAGTATGATGTCTTTGTTACTTGTAAGTTCTTAAAGTTCGACAAAATGAATTCTGTGAAGCGAAAGTGTTTTGCAATTGAAGAAAAAAGTGCAATATTACACCGATTAGAAGCCGGTGAATCAAATGCAGCCCTCGCAAAGGAGTTTGGCGTATCCCATTCTACGATATCCACAATTAAAAAGACTAAAGATAAGATCGAGTCGCTGTTCAATGCCAATGTTTCGAAATGCAAACGTGTAAGGACTTCTACTCATGAGCAGTTGGATAAGGCATTGCGAAACAATATAGAATATAGCCTAACTCCAAACCCAGATGATTTCAACGAAGAAGACGACGTGCCACTGAGCAATTAGGCAATGGGTTGTTGATATGCATCAGTTACCCATAACAAACGATGGTGCTGTCGCAACTTGTGAGGAACCGTCTGATGAAAACCTTGTGGAAAATATATTGCTAACGACGCGAATAGCAAAGATAATGACAGTGATGATGACGCGCCAGAGGAGATTTATCCAACTTCGAGTGTGTCTGAAGCTCTGAAGGCTGCGGAAACGCTCAATGTGTTTGTTCAGACTAACTCGGAGGATGATGTTATGAAAACAATGATGTCCCAAATTCATAATGCTGTACAAAATTCTCACTACCGCGTGCGTATTTTATCTCTTTGTATTACAGTACATAGGTAATGTAAATACATATGGTTGTACATTAGGATACTTAAGAACTATTAAAATAAAGCATATGTGAATCCTATAAAATGTTTTATTCAACTATCGATCAGCAGTCGCTCAGCTAAATGAAAGACTGATGAACTAATGTACACTTTACTACCACAAAATTAATCCGTTTTGTGCGTCGTCTGGTTAGTACGACATAATATATCCGGTCCCTTGAAGGTCGTTATATCCTGATTCTACTGTATGTCATCTCTGCGAAACACTCAGAATTTTACAGTTTTAGGTCATGTTGCCTTAATAGAAAATACGTTGTCTTTGAGTTAAACAAACTTTTCAGAATTCTTCATCGAAAAGAAAATGCGTCATGAATTCAAGAAAAATTATTTCGACAGTAAAGTTGAATTATGTGAGATTCTTGCATAACGTGTCCACTGTATTTCAGCTTTGTTGTATACCACATGTTTCTCGGATGAATATAACTTTTATCTGAATGGGCAAGTGAATCGTCGAAATTTTTAATACTGGGGTGATTCACATTCCAATATGGTATGCCAAATGCATACCCAATATCCTAGAAAAATAATTGCATGTACAGGAATTTTGGGTAACCATGATTTAGTACTATTTTTTTGGATGAAAACCTGATTGGTGGAAGAATTTACTGAATAATAAAATCATGACAAGCAATAACAACGCAATCCAGTTAGATATTGTGTTGCGAAATAGAGTACATAGTTTTTTAGCGAAATGGGGTTCGTCCCCATTGCTAAAGATCACTGTTGATAATCTTGCGGGTCAATGGTTTATAGAATTAACACCCAGATGCTCCGATTTGACTTGAATAGAGTTTTTTCACATTGAGGAGAAGCCACTATCATGTTTTTTGTATAACAATTATCGAATAAACTCACTGGGGTTGTAGAGAAGAATCAAAGACTATGAAATTTCTCTGAGTTGAAATCATTCATAAGGAAAAAACTGATTACGCCCAGTGTAAATTTCACAGTGTCATATTCAGTCAACCAACGTGAACGTATAGCACCCTTTGATTGAACTGGTGAACGGATACCATACCTGAACCAAAAAATAGAATTACCTTATATTTCAAAGTCAACCAAATATCATATTATGACATTTCATATTTCATTTAATTTTTTGACTCACATTGAAATTTTCTGTTCCACTTCTTTTTTATTCGTTTAGTTTTCAGTTTCATAATCATGTTACAATAAATTGTGAATTTGTTCATATTTTGCTAACGTCTCTTTTATCTTCATTTCACCGTTTCATAAATAATCAGTTAATTTCTTTGAAATATCAAATTTATATAATTATCGTGCCGATGTCACCAACATTCAAATCCTCACCATTGAAGAATATCAAAATGATTCGAGATGAAACATGACCTGTGATTTTACTACAGTCCAAATAATTTATTCCATCGAATGATTTTTTAACCACTTCACCATTTCGTTGGATATACTTGTATTCATCAATGTACTCATCAAAATTGAAGTGAGACTTCAATTTTTGATGTGATGTACCAATTCGTGACAATTCTCTACATTTACTTCAATATAAGTTTGAAATAGTTCTGGGATACAGCACATTCTCAGAACTGGCTCGTTATCCAGGCCCCATGAGTCTAACTTTGCGGCTCCCACAATTCTAAACTTGAATAACAACAAAGTTACTTTCGAATTCGCAGGTCTATATTTCATCTATCAGGACTTGAAGAAAAATATTGACTCATCAAGAGTCGAAATATCAATCTCTCCCAACTACATATACAGTAGAACTTTTGTCGGAAAACAAATACTTCTCCTGCTAATAGTACGCTGGTATTGAATTATATCCGACTTACATTTATGCAAGATTCTAGTCTCGCAGATGTTCATTCAGCAGCAGGACCATGATGGAATTATTCATGTAGATCACCTGCAGACCGCGGTTTCGAAGTATTACCCCTCGTGGGTACAGGAAAGATCCCACCCAGACAGCAAGGTGCCTGGAACTCAGTTAATTTCAATACAGCTCCGCTACATACAGGGTGTTTCAAATTCGATACTCACCATTGTAATCTTGGAAACTATGAGAGACACGAAGATGGTTAAATTGGGACAAAGTTGCGCATTTACCTGAATAATAGTATGCTGTTGAGAAAGTTCTGAAATTCCGAGTATATGGTTTTTATTTTTTTCTGGCTTCATTTTTCGAAGGTTTCCAAAATAAATTGCACTTTCGCATTGCCACATTTTCCCTGCTACATAATGGTGTTTTCAGATTTGGTATCCGACGTTTCGTCTTTCGGCCACCATCATCAACTTTATTTTTTCTATGATGTATCATAAGTTATAATTTTTTTTTCGAAAAATTGGAGATATTGAAAAAAATAATTATTTTCATAATAGGCTTTGATTTTGATGTTTTTAAATTTGACTTTCAATTTGTTACACTCAATGACATTTTCTTATTGCACAAGTCATTTAATTTTTGGCGAAAAATGGCTTTTACGAAGAAGAAGAAGAAAAAATAGATATGATACAAATTTATTACAAATACGATAGAAACATCGGAAATATATTCAAACTTCTATTCCGAAAGACGACAACCACATCGAACTGTGTTCAAGTTATTGGATCAAAATCTCACCGAGTTTGGTTCATTTGAAAAGCCGAGGAAAAAATACATTGACTATACCATATCTGCTTCAGTTGTTGTTATTATTATTAAACAAATCTGTAAAAGTTATTT